GTTTCTGTAATCAAACCCATGTAGATATGACCTTACATATTTAGTAAGATGTGTTACCCCTGTACACATGGAAAAAAAAATAAATAAATATAATTAACATTTCTAGACCAATATGGCTGTCCATTTCTGTACAATGCCAACTCAACACAGTAAATTCGGATGACTTTTTGCAACATTGGCAGCACCGTTAAACTTTCCCAAAATTCAATGTATATATATATGTGTGTGTGTATATATATATATTTATATAAAAAGACTAATAATAGCAGTATGCAATGCATCGATAGCACCGTGTGTTTCTTATCATGACAGAGCAGTGCCCTGTGACCCAGGGCTGGCAGGCTTAGCCACTCATTGCTGCACATGTACTGTGGCAAAGTACATGTCTGTGAGGAATGGGACAGAGATCGGGCTGGGGATGGAGAGAGCATTGAGTCTTGGTGAACCGCGGCCATGCCTCACTTTCTGTGGTCCTTTCTGGTTTACCAGGTCTCGCTTCACAGCCAGACTCTGGCTTGGGGTCCTCATGTACCCTTGCTGCATCCCACAGGAAGGAGTGAGGTTGGGGTTCTGGGCAGGGGTCCACGTGGTGCAGCAGGGTGCTTCCCGGGTGTCCTTGGAATTCTGGTCCTTCCCATAGATGATGTGGGGTTGCCTTCCCCTGCCACAGAAGCCCTGTGTCTGACACCAGGCCTTGCTGGAGAGGAGATTTCTCTCCTGCGCCAACTCCTGGCTTGGCACCTTAGAGCACCCCAGGATGCCAGATGGGCCGAGCCCCATCCTGGCAGCCTGAGAGTGGGGCTGAGCCACCCCGTGGTGGGCTGACTGGCTCGCTGTCTGGCCCTAGATCAATGGCATCGCACTGGACAACAAGTCTCTGAACGAATGTGAATCCTTACTGCGCAACTGCCAGGACTCCCTGACGCTCTCCCTCCTGAAGGTAAGGACCACACCTGCTCTGCTTTTCCAACCTTGTGCACCCGGCTGTTGCTCAGGGCCACCAGGGCCCTTGAGCGAAAGGTACTGAATGACAAAATGCAGGGGGTACATGAAGTCTGGCTGGGTCCTGGTTGGAAAACACAAAACAGCCCAGAAGGCCGTGTTGGAGACGGTCGTGTGCGTTGGAATCTGGACTGGATGATTGGATGATCCTAGAGGACTGTTTGTTTCCTTCAGCCTATATAGGAAAATGATCTTATTTGGGGAGGTGCATGCTAAAGGTAACAGGGAGCAATGTGAAGGTGTTTGTGACTGGCTTTCCACTGTTCTGTGGTATCAGTACAGACAATAAAGACAACTTAAATCCAGTTAGTGGGTTTATGGACATTCATTGTACTTTCCTATTAACTTTTCTACGTAGTTGAAAAGATTATTAATAGAAAATTGGAAAAAATAGGCCCAGCTTGTTTCATTAAGAGATGTTTTCCAAATTAAATAATTGTTTTTATTTATTTGTTTTGTTTTGTTTTTGGTACCGGGGATTGAACTCGGGTCCTTGTGCTTGTGAGGCAGGCGCCGAACCACTGGGCTAAATTCCCAGTCCTAAGTAATTGTTTTTAAATCGGTAGACTTTCTGGGGTACTGTTTTAGGACTACAGAACAGCAGGGCTGGGACAAAGTCCTCACGTACTCCCTCAGCCCAGCCCCTGGCACTGCTCCTCCCTCTGCCTCACATCTCCCCTGTGACATCTGTCCTGAGTGTGGTTCGTTTGTCACAATCGCTGTGCCACTCTGGGTGCCTCACTGTTACCTACAATGCGTGGTTTACCCGAGGCTCACTCTCCGTGTGGTATACTTTGTGGTTTGTGACGAAAGGACACTGACAGGCACCCAGTGATACAGTGTCACGGGGGTTGGTCTCTGTCCTGCATTCCCCTGTGCTCTGCCTGTTCGTTGTGCCTGCTCTGAGGCCCCGATGGCCCTGACCCTGTCTCTGTCTCCGAGCTTTTGCCCTTCCCAGGATGTGTGGCTGTGTCATGAAGGGCGTGGCCTTTCCAGACAGCCTAACTCACTCTGCACCATGCTGTAAGGTTGCCCCGGGCCTCTACGGCTGGACAGCTGGTTCTGTTTTGGCCCTGATTAATATCCACGGCCTGCGTGTAACACGAGGAATTTATTTTAATGCCGGATAATTCTTAAACTGTGCAGGACACCGTGCGGGTGTCTGCAGCAAGTGTCTGGGTTGTGATGGGCCTTCACACACGTGTGTCCCTCTGTCCTTCTTTCTCTGAGGGGGTGAGGCCCTCCCTGCCTGTTGCTCCACTGTGGGGACCGTTTCTGGTGGCATTTCCGGGCCCCGTCCCCTGACCCCTTCCTCACCTCTGTGCTACCCCTGCTTAGGTGTTCCCACAGAGCGCCTCGTGGAGCGGCCAGAACATCTTTGAAAACATCAAAGACTCTGATAAGATGGTAAGTTTTCGCGCCCACGGCCCGGAGGTCCAAGCTCATAATAAGCGGAATTTGATGCAGCACAATAACTCCACGCAGACGGATATCTTCTACGAGGACCACCTGGAAGACAGGAAGGAGCTAGGCCCGCCCAGAGGCAGCAGCTCCTTTCTGCACAAGCCATTTCTGGGGGACCCCTTTCCGGTCTCCTCCCAGACCTGTCCCAGCGCCTCTGAGCGCAGCCTGAGCTCCTTCCGCTCTGATAACTCTGGGGAGCGTGGCTATGGGCTGGTGGACGTGCGGAGCCGGCAGCCCCTGCTGCCCTTTGAGACTGAGGGGGGGCCCTGCGGGACAGTGGAGGCCCCCCTGGACAAGGTGGACTCCGAGAGCTCCAACAGTGGTGGGACCTGGCCCAAGGCTGTGCCTGGCTCCGTGGCGGGGCCAGAGAAGCTCTCTGTTTACAAGAAGCCAAAGCAAAGAAAGTCTATCTTTGACCCGAACACTTTCAAACGCCCCCAGACGCCCCCCAAAATTGACTACATGCTCCCAGGCCCTGGGCCCGCCCACTCCCCCCAGCCCTCCAAGAGGGTAGAACCTCTGACGCCCCCGAAGCCCCCCAAGAGGAGTGACTCCATCAAGTTCCAGCACAGGCTGGAAACCAGTTCTGAATCCGAGGCAACTTTGGTTGGCAGCTCCCCATCCACCAGCCCCCCGATCACCCTGCCGCCCGGTCTGGACCCCGGGGAGCCCATGCATGCATCACCCCCTCGCAAGGCCCGGGTCCGCATCGCCTCCAGCTACTACCCTGAAGGGGACGGGGATGCCTCCTGCCTGCCGGCCAAGAAGTCCTGTGACGAGGACCTTACCTCCCAGAAGGTGGATGAGCTGGGGCAGAAGCGGCGCCGGCCAAAGTCCGCTCCCAGTTGTCGGCCCAAGGTGGCTCCAGTAGTGATTCCCGCTCAGTTCCTGGAGGTAGAGCGCAGCCTCAGGTGGGGGTGGGGGAAGCTGGCCGTGGGCCTGCCGCAGAGTGCCCTGCGCTGGCCTCCCTGGGCTCCTCGGGGGCTGGCTGCTTTGTCTTTGCTCTTGGTGGGGTGGCCGGTGGATGCCAGCAGGAGGCAGCCCTGCCAGGAGACCGGCAGGTGCTGGGGTGCATGACAGTGGCAGTTTGACACCGCCGAGAGTGTGTTCTTGGACGTAGCCTTAGGTTTGCTTTTGCAGCAGGACTTTGAATTTGTACAACAGAGGCGTGGGATGGACTTGCAGAGTTGGGTGGCACTTGTAAGACTGTTAGCCAATGACAGAGTGGTCTGTGTGTGCTGCTGTCAGATCCAGAGGGAAACATTTCTGGGAGCCAGGACTCTGGCAGGCACCAGCACACCCTACTCACAGTGAATGTTGCCAGTTGTGTAGAGTTTTATGTGACTGATGCATGTGTAGTTAAAAGAGACTAGCTGGTGGTGCTGTCACACACCTATAATCCCAGCAGTCCAGGTAGCTGAGGCAGGAGGACCTCAAGATCAAGCCTAGCCTGGGTGACTTAGAGTCTGCCTCAAAAGCAAAATTAAAAAAGGGCTGGGGATGTAGCTCAACACTACAGAGGTAGGCCTTGTATTCAATCCCCAGTACTGAAAACAAAGCAAAAAGGTCAGGGTTTTCCTCTGGGATTGTTTTCTGAAAGGTTTGTATGGGAGGCGCCTCCCTTCTGGGTATACAAGGCAACCGGAACAAACAGTAACCTCTTTCCTGCTCCGTGTGTCCATTGCTGGAGTGGGAGGAGCTCGAGCATGGGGGGACAGCCGGTGGCTTGCTAACGGACCTGAGTAGCTCACCCTTTCCAACAGCCACCCTTGCCTTTGCTTCTGCAGGAACACAAATGTGTCCCCACCAGTGGAGAGCTGTCCCCAGAGGCCCAGGACTGGTCACCTCACTCGCCAGGGCATTCCAGTCGGCAGGGCAACTCCCTGTTCTACGCCAGCAGACCTTCTGTGGGTGAGTAGGTGGGCTGGGGGCGGGAGAGGGGTGTGGTGTGGAGCCATGGGGCAGCCCAGTCTCTGGGGATACAGGCAGGAGCTGCTGCCCTGTCTGGGACATTCGTTCTGGCATCTGTGCCACATTGCTGTTTGTCGAAGTGCTTTCCCCCCACAGCAGCGTGGCAGTGGGAAGAGTCAGGAGAACGCTCCCTTTGTGTAGAGGGAGAAAGGCAGGTAGCAAAGCCATGGAGTAAGTGGTAGTTAAAACTCTAGTCTTCCTCTAGAGTCCTCTTCACCAGGGAGGCTCGCTGCTGCCCTGGTTGGTGGGAGAGAGATTGCATTAGTCCACTGCTGCCTGGGTGGTTTGGGGCGACTGACCTCACCGGCCCTATTCCAGGCACTGTTCCCCGGAATGTGACCCCCAGCACCACTGTGAGCTCCATCCTGCGGAACCCCGTCTACACTGTACGCAGCCACAGGGTTGGACCCTGCAGCTCTCCGCCTGTGCCCCGAGATGTCGGCCCCCAGAATCTGCCTCCCAGGTATGCTCAGCACCCTGTGCTTCCCTGCACACCAGCTGTCCAGAGCCCCTAGACAGAGAGGCCGGTGGGCAGGAGACTTCCTTGGACAGCTGGGCAGAGGTGGTGGAGAACAGCGCTGGGACCCCAGGAAAGGGAGCTTGAAGGGTGCTCTTGTCACTAGTGTGCAGTTTCTAAACTCCTGTCCCGGGCACTGTCCCACACCCTCTCCTCTCAGGACACAGCAGCCTTCTGAGCTAAGTCCTGTTTCACTTTTTCTGCTGTGGGGATGGGGGCCATGAGACTTCAAAAGAATTGGAATTTTATTTTACTCTTTTTGAGACAGGGTCTCACTATGTAGGTGAGACTGCCCTGGGACTCGCTATGTAGCCCAGGCTGGTCTCGAACTCACAGCGATCCTCCTGCCTCAGCCCCCCGAGTGTTGGGATTACAGGCATGTACCACCACACCCAGCAGCTGAATCTGTTTTATTAAAAAAGAAACCTAAAAAAAAAAAAAAAAGCCTGAAATTAAAAAAAAAAGTGAATAAGAAGTAGGCTCAAGATCACTCTCATTGTTCATTTGGCAAATTATTGTTCAGCATGTACTGCAGGCTAAGGACTGTTCTAGTTCCACGGGGTGACAGTGGCAAACTGAAAAGACAGCTTCCTGCTTTGAGAGTGCTTTACGTTCAGGTGTGGGAGGCAGACAGAAATGCAGAGTATGTTGGATGGTACCAAGTGGCTCTGCAGGCGGTAAGGCAGGGTGACAGGCCAGCCAGGAGGTAGGGTGGTGAGGGAGGGCGCTTGTGGCCAGAAGGAAGACAAAGGCCAGCGGCACAGGACTTTGTGGGCAAGCTTCCAGGAGGGAGAGCCGTCGGTCCTGGGGCCTGGGCACCTGGGCACCTGGGCATGGCAGGGTGGGAGATCGGCGAAGGGGGGCCACCAGTCATAGTGCACAGACCTGTAGGACCTGGAACCATGCTAGAGGAGGTGGTTTCGTTCTGAGTGAGTAGAGACGCTGGAACAGTGGGATTTCTGCAGGGAAGAGACATGGTCTCGTTACACAGCCAGAAGAGACCTTGTCGGGACCTGACCCCACCCCACCCCCATCAATCTGACACGGTGACTCTGGCTCTGCCTGTTGCCCTCTGGTGTCCTAGGCGCATGGTCCAGAGGCTCAGTCTCCTCTCCAAGGTCCCTGGTGCGAGCCTGGCCCCTGTCTGCCTGTCTTGTGCCCACCAGGTTGCCAAGCCCCTTTTCCCCGTAGCATCCGTTCCTCCCAGTGAGCCAAATCCCAGCCCTGCTGCAGAAGTGGGAGTGACCCTGACCCAGGCACCCCATATGTGTTGCTCTAGTTAGATGCCACCTCTGAGAGGTGGACAGGGCATTATGGGGACCCCCGGGCCTCCTGGCTCAGGCAGACATAGCCCTGGCCCTGCGTTTCTCCCCAGTGCCGCATTGGGTCCTGTTCTTCCTCTTACCCCTCTGGTTCTCTCGCAGTGTCCAGCACCAGGGACGCCTGAGCCTGGACCTGAGCCACAGGGCCTGCGGCGACTGCTCTGAAATGAGAGCCTCCCACGGGTCCAACTCGCTGCCCTCCAGCGCCCGCCTTGGTAACTGTGCCATCAGACCCTGTGTGGGAGCGGGCACCTGTGTCCCGATGCCCACGGCTCCTCCCCTCTGGGGCCACATTGGTGTCTGGTGGGGGTGGAGTCTGCCGCTTGGCTGCACTCAGAGTCCCTGCCCCTGCCCGAGGTCTTCCACAGTGGCCGTGGGCTGTTTGGGGGCCTGGCTCCGTCCCTGAGCTTGCTGGTCTTGCTGGGGTATTTTGCATGGCTGTTCATTCACTTAGGCAGATGCAGCCCAGGGGAGAGTCTCATGTTGTCCTTGCAGTGGCTCTGGTGCTGGGGAAGAGGAGTAACCTGTGCCCCTAGGTCACTGCTTGGGTTTTGGGCTGGATGTGGAACTTGTATGATCTTGGTCTGGAGAAGCCTGGCTCCTTCCGACACTAGGGGCCATGCGTCCACCCCCATCTTGGCCCCCAGCATAGCCGGCAGGGCCCAGCTTGCTTTACATGTCACATCCTGACCGTCAGGCCTGGATAAGGGTGGCGAGGTTGGCATGAGGCCTCACTTCCTGTCTCCTTACGGCACAACAGGCTCCTCCAGTAACTTGCAGTTCAAGGCGGAACGCATCAAGATCCCACTGACGCCAAGATACCCCCGGTCGGTCATGGGCTCTGACAGAGGTGAGGACTGCTGGGCACTCGGCCGTTCGCTGTGCTCCGTCCCTCGCCCTTACACGGGGGGTTGGTCTTCTCTGCTGGTCAGTGATGGTGCGTGAGTATGGGCATAGCAGGCAGTGTGGCGCTGGGCAGCTAAACCCAGGCTGTGCCACGCTGTCGGGACCCAGAGATCCCTGCCCAGACGTCAGCCCAGCTGTGTCTCCCCGCTCTCCCGCAGGTTCCTTGTCGCATTCCGAGTGCAGCACTCCTCCACAGTCTCCCCTGAACATCGACACCCTGCCCTCCTGCAGCCAGCCACAGACCTCAGCCTCCACATTGCCCAGAATCGCCGTCAACCCCACATCCCACGGGGAGCGGAGAAAGGACAGGTGAGCGTGCATGGGCATCGACGGCCTGGGCAAACCTGCGGATGGTAGATGAGGGTGAGGGACCGACTTGTGTGTGGAAGGGGCGGAATGGGGAGCTCTGTTTTGATTTGATCAGGGCCTAGCCAATCTAGCATGGGTCGCCTGGCGTTATTCCCTGGTGCCTTGCCACAGGCAGTTGCTTGTGTGTCCCATGGGGCACTCGATGCCAGGGCCCAGCAGGGAGGTGGGGAAGGAGTAGATGGCAGGGATAGAGCAGGATGGTTGAGACCTGTTGGGCAATCATGCTGGGGATGATCCTGTGGTGGCAGCCGTGTCAGGGCAGCGTTTACTACTTCCCAGCTCACATTCCAGTGCTCAGTGTGTTAAGTTATGGAAGCCTCGCCATCACCCTTGTCACTGTGATTAGTTCCACATCACGGTGAGGAATCTGGGTCCAAGGGCAGCAGTAATGGCTCTGTGGTCACATGGTCAGCCACCAGCCCTTAATAGCATCAGAATTCATTCCAGCCCTTTACTCTTTGTTCCCTGTGAGCTACATCTAGTTCTTTTCCCTTTTCATAGTGAAGTGAAGCACACGTGGTGAAATGAAGTGTGTGTACAGCATGAAAGCACAGCTTAGCCATTGGTTGGTTTCCTTCTAAATGTAGGCCCATGTGCGCCTGGGCTTTAGATTGCCCGCAGGCTTGGTGTCCAAGGCCTCTCTGCTGAGGCTGTCACCCCTGCCCCAGCACACTCTATGTGCCTCATGTTCCTCTCCTTCTCCTTTCTTTCTTTCTCACTAAGCCCAGCTTGCTTTGTCTCTGTCCTCTGGTCTCAGCCTCTCACGTAGTTGGGACTGTAGGTGTACACCACTGTGCCTGGTGCTCTTTTCTTTCACTGTGGAGCCTACCAGACCGTATTCATGTGTGAAGGTTCCATCTAGACCTTGAAAGTCTGAACTTGTAAGTTAGCAAAGTCAACAAATACTAACCCAAGAGACCTGAGGTGGACAGAAGGTATCTACACCCAGGGGCTGGCCCTGGGGAAGCAGGCACAGTCCATAGAGGATGTTTGAGAGTCCTTGTCGTGAGGTGCATTCAGAAACAGGGGGCTGGGGGCTGTACTCACCCCAGCTCTGGTCCTCACTGAGAGATCAACACCTTCCCCAAAGGCAGTGTGTCCGCAATAGGGAAAGGACATTGTCATGTGCAGTCAAGCGCTCCCTTAGCCCCTTACCAGGTACAAAGAGCTGGGGATGCTGGGTACTTCCTGCCCCAGTGCTCCCTGTGATGTGATTAGAGAGGACACTTAGCATGTGTGACCTCCCTGAGCAGCAGGTCATTAACTAAAAGTTGCCCCTTCTTCCCTGAGTCTGAAAAGTTCACTGTCATAGCGTCATTATGCAAAATGAAGCTGGAAAAGTAGGAAAAAGAAAAAAAAAAGTCACATACAGTCTGTCCAACTAAAGATCCAGTTGCTGTTGACCTTGTGACCATTCTGTAATTCACATTTTAATGCACATTTTATTGTTTGTATCATTTTGTGGATGTGATCACATCTTGAACATTGTCTCTTCAGTGATTTGTAATGTTATACTTTACCCACCTGTTTTACAAAGTAGTTTTGTTGTTCCAAGGAAACTTTTCTGTGTAGTCTAAAAAATTTAAGCCATTCAGATGGAAAAGTAAGGGTACCTCATCAGGGGCCGCCCCTGTGCATGTTTGGTAAATTCTCTGTAGAGAGACCTTTGTGGGCACAGACATAAACACGTGTGGAGGTTTCTGTAAATGCAGTTGTGCCCCGGTGCCTTTGCACGACATGGCATTCCCTCTGTGTCTTTCCATGTCAGTAAACCCGATTTATGGAGTTATTGCGAGCAGCTTCTTGGCTGTTGTTGTGACTTGGTTTACCTGCCCCTTTGTTGAGGTCTGTGCATGTGTGGAGATGGAACAGGGACAGTGTAATCCCTGGGGAATGGGGAGCTGGACCTAGCGCTGCCTGCCGCCATGGGCGATGGTGGGAAGGTGGGTTCCGCCCGTCATCTGGGCTGGGTGTGAGGATGGTGTGGGTGGCTGCCCAGTCAGGATTCTCACAGCTCTGAGCCGCCTGGCTCTGATGCATGGTGAGTCGCACATGTGACCTTGGGTGGCATAGGGCTGGCACAGAGCCCTTGGACCTGGAAGGCCAGGGAGACTTGGGGAGGGATGAGTGAGGAGGTGGGGTTACCTTGGAGGGTGGGCAAGAACAAGGACAATTTCAGAAGAATTTCCATCTCTGCTCTTCTGAGAGGGCTGGTCTGGGCCTGGGCAGAGGCCTGCTGAGCCCACGGAGCCCTCTGCCTCCTGTGGACAGGGTGGGCAGTTCAGGTATCTCCCCACCGTGCTGCCTGTCCCTTACCACATCGAGCCTCCATGGGCTCCAGAGCGGCCCCAAGGGGCAGTTGCCAGGTTGGCTCCTTCTCTCTCTGGCTGGGACTTCCTCCTCTATGCCTTGGAGGGAGGAGGCCTGGAAGGGTCCGCTCCAGCCCTGAGGGCAGCTTATTGTCTCCGGCCGTCCTTTCTGTCCGTATGTGGCAGGCGTCTTCCTTTTTTGAGTTTTCCTTCTCTCCTCTCTAACCTTCCTGCCGTCCAGATGTCTCTTGCACCACAGATCTCTTCTGAGGCTGCCCGTGGCTACTAGGCCCAGGTCCTCCTCGCTGAGGAGTCTGAGGTTGGCCTGACATGAGGCTCCCTCGAGCCCCTGCCCCTCGTGCTCTGGGGTGCAGTGCACAGCAAGTGCATGTTTGCAGCCTTGGTCTGTGCCTCCCCGCACCCCACTTCTCATGGCTTGGGTTTGCAACAGCTTAATTTCCATAATCGGTCTGCGTCATCCCATGCAGCCAGTAAACACATCTGGGATCTTATAGCATCTCTTCTGGAACCACTGTCACCCCAGAAGCTATCTTTCTCCTGTGAGCCCTCCCTGGGGTTTGCATGTTAGGAAGCAGGTCCTCTCACACGTGAAACCTGTGTGTCCCCCCCTGTGTACATCCGTGCTCGTTGTTCCCGTGGGCCATTCTGTCTCGGGGCTCGGTGTCTCCTGTCCATTCGGGTGCGCTGTGTCTGTGGTGCATGGAGTTTTGGGAACATGTGTCCTTTGTCATACACAAGCCAATCCATCATGTCCCTGTTTGGCTGGGTCATTCTGGGAGCACATGGGCCCTGGGGCTCTCTCTGCACCTGATGGCATGCCTGACCTCAGACTCCCCTCCACCCTGCTTCCGCTCTGAGTCCTGAAGCTTTGGCTCTTTGCCCAGGCCTTATGTGGAGGAGCCACGCCACGTGAAGGTGCAGAAGGGCTCGGAGCCTCTGGGCATCTCCATCGTGAGTGGGGAGAAGGGCGGCATCTACGTCTCCAAGGTGACCCCAGGGAGCATTGCCCACCAGGCTGGCCTTGAGTACGGGGACCAGTTACTTGAGGTAAGAGGGAGCCCTCTTCTCTTCCCTCCTAAATCTGTCTCCCTAGCCTGGTCCCCTCCCCGTCACTGAGCCCGTCCCGGTTTCTCCCCAGTTCAATGGCATAAACCTGCGGAGCGCCACAGAGCAGCAGGCCCGGCTCATCATCGGGCAGCAGTGCGACACCATCACCATCCTGACCCAGTACAACCCACACATGCACCAGCTCAGCAGCCACTCCCGCTCCAGGTGAGCCCTGGGGGTGGGCAGGTTGGGTGGGAGCTGCCGGCTGCAGGTTCTGTGGATGCTGCTGCTAACAGGGCTACTCAGTCAGCCTCAGGTTTTTGGAGAAAAGGACCTCACCTCCCAAAATAGGCTGTAGAAGCAGATGGTTGTGGCCTGTGCTTGCTAGGAGCCAAGGTCCTGGGCAGGATTCTCACACAGTGGTCAGCTGTCTGTCCGTGAGCACACACTGGTCACCCACTGTGCTGGCCCTCTGCCGCGTGGGTCACAGGGTAAACGACCCGAGGGCCTGAGTGCCCTGCAGGGCCACATCCACGGTGCAGCAGGGGATCTGGAATGCAGAGGCTGAGGAAAAGGGACAATGACTCCACATGTCTCTCGTGCTGGACACTGTGGAAAAGAATCCCTGAGCCGAGGGCAGACTGCTGCCATGAGTCTGAGCTCCTGGTATGCCTGCTCTCCTGGGGCTCAGGGCACAGAGCCATGTGGCCCAGTCCCATTTGCAGCCGATTCGGCGGGCGTCACAGAGGAAGGGGCTCTGGGTGGCTCTGTGCTTCTGTTTATCCCTCCTGTCTTCTGTCCCCAGCTCCCACCTGGACCCTGCTGGAGCTCACTCCACTAACCAGGGCAGTGGGGCCACCACCCCAGAGCATCCCTGTGTCATCGACCCACTCATGGAGCAAGACGAGGGCCCTGGCACCCCTCTGGCCAAGCAGAGCACCCCCAGCTCCAGGTCAGCAGATGCATGCAGTGGGGCCCTCATTTGTCCACTGAGTGCATCTCTGTGGGTCTTGGGTGTCGGGCGGCCAGATTCTCCCAGAGCTGCAGACCACAGCCCTGGTCTTTGGAATCTGGAGTGAGAGGCCCTCCCTCCCATCTTCCCTCTCTCATTTCCTCTCTCTTGTTTGTCACCCTTCTGTCGTCTTCCCTTTTCTCGTTTGCTCATCCGATTCTGTCCCCAGCCAGTCCCAAGTCATCACTCAGCCAGGGCCTGAGCTCTGGCCACCAGCGGCAGTGCTGTCCCATGGCAGGTGACAGGCCACGTGCAGCCAGTCACAGTGCGATGAGGGACACTGCCTGCCACTGTGGAGCTTGAGGCGGGACAGGTGACCGCTGGGGGTGAGCAGAAGCCTCTCTGCAGGCCCCATGGAGGAAGCAGGAGAGGAGGCGGTGTTCTCTGGACTCTGCATGTACGTCAGCCTGGCCTGGGGCTGGAGGGACCAGGAGAGGACCACCCCGGCCACGGTGTGACAATTGCTCCTCCATCCTGCAGGGCCGCTTCTAAAGTAAAGTGCCCAAGGAGACCTGCTCTGCACAGGATCAGCCCTACTAGGACTCCTGTAGCAGAATATTAATCACAGGCTGGCTTGAGGTCACCTTCAGCAGTCTCTACCCTGACTCAGTTTACCGGCTACCCTTCCCGACCCATTCTGTGTTCTGGATGGGGAGGCCGCTCTCGTGAATTGGCGCAGGCCCCATCTGCATGCAGTGCTTGGGATGTTGCTGAATCAGCTGTCCTGTGTGGGAGAATGGGTCACACGACTGCGCGCCTGAAGCCAAAGCAGGGCAGATGGTGTATCCGGGTGGCAGGACACCTCCCAGGGAGGGCAGTGACAGCCGGGGCTGTAAATGGGGGCGTTCGTTTCAGCCTAGTCCCCGGCTGGCTTCGTGACCTGTTGTCTGGCTTTCTCTGCATCGCCGCTCTGCCTCTTAACCTCTGTCCTACTGAGATGATAGAATTAGAACCACGATGAGACCACTGTCAGCTGTCTGAGTCAGGGCCCGTGACACCTGCGGGAAAGGCTAGGGCAGTGATGGCGAACTTAATACAGACTGAGTGCCCAAACTGCAGCCCTGAAACCACTTAGTTATCGCAGAGTGCCAACACTGCAATTAGACTGAATACTGAGGTTTTTACTAAAAAAAAACAAAAACAAAACCAAAAACAAAACTCATACATTAACATCTTCTATCTTAAAAGAAAAACACAGTAGCCGGGCATGGTGGCACACACCTGTAATCTCAGCACTCAGGAGGCTGAGGCAGGAGGATTGGTTGTGAGTTCAAGACCAGCCTGGGCTACATAGTGAGTTCCAGGTCAGTCTCAACTACACAGTGAGACCCTCAAAAAACAAAACAAAACAAAACAGAAAAGAAAAACAGTAACAACTTTCAATGATATAAACAGCTTTTTATTGAAAGGTAACAGTTTGCATTTGGTATGCTTTTGCACAATTAATTCAGTCTTTGCTGTTGTGTGTGAGCTGATCATTGTCAGACCTTGCTCATACTTCAGTTAGTTTGAGAGCAACGCATGCAGCACTCAGGTATCTGTTGTTAATCTGTTTCTTATGTCAGTTTTCATATAATTCAAAGCTGAAAACAGCTGCTCACAAGCATACAATGATCCAGACAAAATAAGAAACCTCAAGTGCTTTCATTGACTTAAAATTATACGGCAGAGAATTCCACACTTTAAGGGTTTCATTTTTAGAGTACCAGCTGCTCTCTCCTTGGTCATCCGTACATGCTCTGTCTTTGCAGGTGCTGCACTCAGGTCATAGAATTTATTTACTTCTTTTTTTTCCCATTAAGTTTATTGGTACCTTTAAAGCAAACAGTACAGTTACATTCATCATTGGGATCCTGCACCTTTACATGACAGGTCTTGGTTCTTGTTTTTCCTCACACCTCTGCCCCCTCTCTTCACCCCCTTCACCCTTCCCCATTTACAGAGGCTTTGTTTCCATTTTTTAATTTTTTCAAATTCTTTCTTTTCCCTTATTTCCTTTCCCCTCCCCTTCCCACTAGAATTTATTTTTCCCGATAGAGCTTTCTTTCTTTTTTGTTTGTTTGTTTTTGGTACCGGGGATCAAACTCAGGACCTTGCGCTTGCGAGGAAGGTGGTGGAACCACTGAGCTAAATCCCCGGTCCCCAGATAGAGTTCTCTTAAAATTTTAACAGCTCCACTTCCAGATTTCCAAATTCTTAACCATTGTAAGCAGGGGAGATCAAGTTCTTCAAATCTGGAGAAGGAAGGACGCGTAGGGTTGTCTCCATCTTAGGGAATTGTCTGTACTAACATTCTCCTTTGAGGCTGCTACAATGCTAGAAAATTCTGTGTACATTTTCTGATGGCTTCTAGAATTGTCTGCAAATGTTGTAGAATTTTCTGATTACATTTTTAGATTGGAAGATATTTCAGCTGCCCACTTTCAAGGTCTGTGGCGACTGGGCTCATGCTGAGAGAGGTCTCCACGTGCCCGCGCTGGCACGTGTGGCATCGGTTCCCTGCCTGGGCTGGGCCTCCACTGTTGGTTGCTGTCTTCAGGCCGCCCTGTCCTTCTTGTCCTCCTCATCCTTGTCATCCTCATCGTTCTCCTCCCCCTCCTCCTCATCCACCACCACCTCGTCCTTCTCCTCCTCCTCTTGGACGTGACTGGGAACTCTTGTTTTCCTCCCCGAAAGGACTGTGGGAGAGGCCAAGAAGACCCCAGAGCCCCGCATCGTCTTCATCAAAAAGTCCCAGGTGGAACGTGGGGTGCACTTGTGTGGCGGGAACCTGCATGGGGTGTTTGTGGCCGAGGTAGAGGATGACAGTCCTGCCAAGGGTCCCGACGGCCTCATGCCCGGGGACCTCATCCTCGAGGTGAGTTCTGCGGCTGAGCAGGCTGGGCCACTCCCACTGGTACTCGGGCCCATGCTGTCCGGGGGACACAGAAGTTGGAGGGCCACAGCCCCTCTCCTGGTGACTGCTGGTGCTGCTGATCATTGTGAATCTGGGAGAGTGGCAGGGCAGCCACTGAGAGAACTCTGGCCCAGGCAGCCAGAAGGAGGCCCCCCAGTCTGGCGGGCGGATGTGGTCTTCTTTCCTGGGTCTCCCAGGCTCACCGGGGAGGGAGACGGCTGGTAGACAGCAAAGTTGCAGTTTCATAAGCAAGAGGCAGGGCTGTACTTTGAGCAGCCCCTTCTTGCTGGGGGACCCACACAGGCATTTTCTGGGGAGAAGCTGTTGAAGGCAGAGCAGCCATGGAGCAGGGAACCTGGTAGACGGGATGCAGTACCCAGGACTCAGTGGTGTGGATGGCGGTTGGGGCCTGCGAGGACTGTCCCCAAATCGGGATGTGGCCCTCCACCCTGTGCCTGAGCTGTCCCTGGCTACCGCCGTTGACTTTGGCACCGTTCCCCACAGTATGGCAGCCTGGACATGCGCAACAAGACAGTGGAGGAAGTCTACGTGGAGATGCTGAAGCCCAAGGACGTCATCCGCCTGAAGGTGCAGCACCGCCCTGAAGACTTCGCCAGGATCAAGGGCCTGCCTGGGGATGGCTTCTACATCAGGTGCCAGGGGCCGGGGCTGGGTTCTGGGCATCCTCTTTAGGGTTCAGGGCCTGGGAAGGTGGTTTTTTTTGAAACAGGGTCTCACTATATAGTTGACACCGATCTGGAACTCACTATGTAGCCCAGGCTAGTTTTGAACTCACAGCGATCCTCCTGCCTCAGCCTCCCGAGTGCTGGGACTACAGGTGTGTGCCACTATGCCCAGCTTAGGGCCTGGGGAGTTTTGAGGCCACTGTGCCTGCCCTGTGTGCTGCAGAAAGCAGTACTTGGGGATGGCACTGGTGTCTCCTGGCAGGGCTCAGAACTTCGTTCATGTTCCCTGAGGTCTGAGGGATCCTATAAGAATATAAGCATTGATGAGGTCCCCTCCCTGTCCTGAGAATGGCAAGTGATAGACTTTCATCCTAGGGAGTTTCCCATCTGTAGGGACCTGGCCTTGACTTTCAGGGTGGAGGCACCCAGTAAAGGCCACTGAAAGGGGAAGATCTGGTCTTGGATCTTTGCAAGAGAGTGTCCCTCCCTGATGGGGGTGAGGCCTCTGTGTCTATCCTGTTCTGTAAAGTATTGGGCTCTGTCCTTCAGGAGTTATCCTCTGCACAGAATCCTATTCCTGGTGGTATCTAGGGACAGCTGAAGGCCAAGCAGTGGCCCCAGGAACCTATGCAAGGGTTTGCGGCATCTCCCTGGCAGCAGGTGGCTTCCTGACTCGGTTCCCTCTGTCTCCTGCTCCAGGGCCCTGTACGACCGGCAGGGTGAGGTGGAGCATGATCTGAGCTTTAAGAAGGATGACATCCTCTATGTGGACAACACCCTGCCCCAGGGCACGTTTGGGTGCTGGATGGCATGGCAGCTGGATGAGAGTGCCCACAAGATGCAGCGCGGGCAGATCCCCAGCAAATACGTGTAAGTGTCTGCCACCTTTGGGAGACCCGGCCCACTGTCCCTTGGGGTGAGGCAGGCTTGGGCTGGGGAGAGCTGATTCCACTGCTCACACCAGCTTCTGGGCTGAGCCCCTTGCTGTGTGGCTTCTCTAAAAAGCTGCCTTGAGTGTGCGTCTGTGCAGAGGCAGAGTAGCAAGGTGGGTGGCACAACCTCTTTTCCAAATAGATGCATGGAGCTGCAATTCATATACTACACAATATGCCCAAAGTGTACAATTCTGTGGTCTTTAGTGTATTCACAGATGGGTGCAGCTGCCTCCACCGTGCTTGTCAGAGCATTTTCATCACCTGTCAATCACTGCCCTGTGCCAGTCTGTTTTCTGTTGCTATAACAAAACCACTGAGTCCTGGTAATTTACAAAGAAAAATGATTTATTTAACTCTCAGTTCTGGAGGTTGAAAATGTAAGATCATGAGGAGGAGCCATCTGGGCTGTGTCACAGTGTTGGGAACCCAGAAGAAACCAGCCTAGTGCAGACAGGAGAGATCACAGGGCAAGAAAGGCAGCAAGGGGTGTCTGGCGCCAGGCTTGCTTTTTCTGCAGCAGCCTGTTCTTGTGGGAACTCCATCAATCCCTGACTGCGTCCCAGTAGGTCACACCTCTTAGGGGTTCCTCGACTCTACCACCCTGGGGACAAAGCTCCCAGCACAAAGACGTTAGGAGACCCTCGCACAGCATCCAAACCATAGCGCACGTCTGCCCTTCTTCCTCTGCTCTGTTCCCGGCCCTCAGCAGCCATCTGTGTGTATGTGGAGCTGGCAGCTGCACAGCTGTGGGTTTCTGTGGGGTGGACGTTGGCAGGGCGTGGCCTTTCCCTCATCCCGTGGAAGGAAGCATATCGTGGAGTCATCAAGTGCAGCTCCTTTTGTGGGAGCTGAGCACTTCCTGTCACCAGGAGCCTGAGGGGACATGGGAAAAGCCTGGCTTCTGGTTGGCCATCGCTGTGCTCCCTGGGAGGGTGGTCCCTGTAACTTCCTTGGCGTTGTCTCCCTGTGACTGCAGGATGGACCAGGAGTTCGCCAGGAGGCTCAGCATGTCCGAGGTCAAAGACGATGGCAGCGCTGCAAAGACGCTGTCAGCGGCTGCACGCCGGTCCTTCTTTCGAAGGAAACACAAGCACAAACGCAGTGGGTCCAAAGACGGAAAGGACCTCCTCGCCTTGGACACCTTTTCCAATGACTCCATTCCACTCTTTGAAGGCAAGTGCTGGGCCCACTGCCTTTTGGGTTCTCCAGGAGGATTCGCTGAAGCTTTGCAACTGGGGCCTGAACAAGAGGAAGGGTTTTGTACACCGGACTGGAGGCGGGTGTCCAGACTGTAGGGTGGTGCTACTTGTCTTCCGTCTCCCAGCTGTGCAGTGTGGCCTCTGTCTTCAAGGCCTCATGGCCACCGTTTGTCATTGTAGCCCCAGCCATCACATCTGTTTCAGGAAGCATGGTAAAGGAAGGGGCAAGGCAAAAGTGTGTCTCAGCTGAGTGTCCCCTCTTTAAACAGCTTTTCTGCCAGGCGTGGTGGCGCACGCCTGTAATCCCAGCACTCGGGAGGCTGAGGCAGGAGGATCGCTGTGAGTTCGAGACCAGCCTGGGCTACATAGTGAGTTTCGGTCAATCTCAACTACGTAGTGAGACCCTGTCTCAAAAAACCTAAAACAAAAATAAAAATAAATAAGTAAACAGCTTTTCTTGGGACACCACCCTGTGACTTCCATGTACATCTCCTTAGCCACTCGCATCTGCATAGGAGGCCTTAAAGCCTGTTTTAGCTGGAGGCATCACTGGAGCTGGAGTTGAGGCTGAGGGCATGGCCGATGGCCCTTGTGGAAGAGATGCCTTTGTTCTGGGCGGTAAGAGGCCCTTGTGAATGTGGCTCCCAAGACCCTGTGTGTGTCCACTGTCTCCAGGCATCTTTATATTTAAAATCGAGGCCATAGGCCAAGTGGCTGAGTGGGCCACACTGCAGTTTATGGACCACTGTCCAGCACCAGGACGAGGTGGACCTACCATAGATCATGGAACAAGTCTGGCCTGTTGCCCGTTTTTCTCCCTCCCTTCGTTTGTTCCTCCCTCCCTCCCTCCTTTCCTTCCTCTTCCTCTCTCTTTCCTTTTCTCTTTTTTTTTTTTTTGTACCGGGGATTGAATTTGGGGCCTTGCTTTTGCAAGGCAGCTGGTGGCACCACTGAGCTAAATCCCCAGCCCTGCTGCTTGTTTTTGTACAGCCTGCAAGCTAAGGGCAGAGTTTTATCTTTTGGCAGTACTGGGGATTGAACCTCAGAGAGCTGAGCTGCATTCCTAGCCCCCCCCCTTTTTTTTAAACAGAATCTCGCTAAGTTGCCCAGGCCGGCCTCGAACTTGTGAGCTTCCTACCTTAGCCTCCCAAGCGGCTGGGATTATAGGCATGCACCACCGTGCTCATCAGGGTTTTACAAGGTAGAAATACAAGGTAGAAAAAAAGACCATTAGCCTTCTGGTGATGATAGTTTGCTAACTTTTGTCTTTTTGCCTTCAAGCCTAAAATATTAACCAGGTTTGGGGTTGCCTGCCTGTAGTCTTGGCTACTGTAGAGGCTGAGGCAGAAGGCTTGCAAATTCGGGGTCAGCCTGGGTAAAAGATCCTGCCCCAAAATTACAAGGGACTATGATGTAGCTTGTGGGTAAGGTGCTTGCCTAACAAGTGTCAGCTCCAGGGTACAATCTGCACTACTGCAAAAAAAGAAAAAAATTAGTATTCTTTTTACTGTCTTGCCCTTTGCAGAGCAAGTTTGCTGACTTGTTAGTCAAGGCAAGGTTTCTGTCTTCACCCTTGTTTTTGTTTTTTGGTTTTTCCCCTTTATTCCTTCACTCTCTCCCTTGGATTCCCTGCTCCTTTCTCCCACGGACAACATTGCTGGATGTGTTTGTATCTCTGAAAAGTAGCCATTTCCCCGTTCTTCTTTTAGTTCTTCTGGGTTTCTGCACTGTTTTTTGTGAAGTCATTGCCGAGTGCCTACACCACTAGTTTGTCCCATCTTCCCGGAAAATCTCATTAAGAAACATCCTGGTCTCTAGCCGTGGTTCCTGCCCAGAAGTCTGTTTTGTATGATGGTGTAATTTCCACAGCAGTTTTCTTTTGGTTACTGTTTATGTAGTTGTTTTTTTTTTTTTTATAAACTTCTCTATACTTTATTATCTATGGATCTCTTACTAGCAGCACCTGGATTTTTTTATCCACCATGGCGATCTGTCTTTTGAAAAATTTTATCAAACTAGGACATGTGTACAGCAAAGTACACATACATTTTAATTGTGTATTTATTTATCTATTTTTTGTTTTCTTGAGACAGGATCTTGCTATGTAGTTTAGGCTGATCTCAAACTCACTATGTAGCCCACTCTGACCTCAAACTGATCCTCCTGCCTTAGCCTCCCGAGTGCTGGGATTACAGTTATGCACAACCACGCCTGGCTGCGTATACATTTTTAGCCATGTGAGCGGTGCAAGGAGTTTGCATACGCCCCACCCATCCACAACAGTCCTTATTGTGAAATCAGTGTTTAATCTATTCCATAAATGGAGCATACACTCACCATCTTACTCTTTGATTTTTGGCTTGCCTCTTTTATGTTTCCTCATTTCTCGTGTGCTTTTGTTTTGGTTATTTTTACTCCTTTCAGTCCATTAATTTTCAGTTATTTTAAAATTTGAGTTCTCTGAGAATTTTCAGCAGTTCTCACAGCATACGTCTTTGATTACTGCTAACCTACGTTCCCGTTTTAACGCTTCCCTGACAGTTCTGAAACACTGGCCTGCTCTCACTCCATGTACCGCCTGCCCAGCTTACACAGTTACCACTTTAATTTCACGCGTATTGTAAGTCTGTCCCTGTTTGTATACCAGCTCTGCACTCCGCCCTGCACTTCTCTCCTGGTTTTGTCTTCTTTCTGCTGAGCAGCTCCTTCAGTATTTCTTGTCAATCAGGTTTGTTGGTACCATTGTTTTTGGAGATATTCACTAGGTGAAAAACTTCACCCTGATCTTTACAGTCTTCAAAGCCTTGTATCCTGGGTGGGTTCCAGGACCCCCATAGATACCACTGTGCAGATATTCAATAATAAAAGACACAGTATTTGCATATACCAGCATACATCATCCTGTACACTTTTTTGTTTGTTTGGGGGGGGGAGTTATTTGATATTTACATGGAACAAATCAGCAGAACGAGATTATATCAGATAGGCTGTGTACAATAGCTGCCACTTACAAAACATAGCAGTAATCTGTACCTGGCAAGTAGAAAGAGAACCAAGAATTCAAATGACTTTAAAACCAAGGGAGTACATACATCACTAACAAATTAGAACACCCCCCCCCAAATTCACATTTTCTACATTTAAAAAAATTACATGCCATGCCTGCTTGGCAAATGCAGGGTCCTGAGTTTGATTGCTGGTATCAAGAAGAGAAAAAAAAAAAAAAAAGTTTAAAAAAGCCAAGGATGTAGCTCAGTGGTGCCACACCTGCCTGGCAAGTGCAAGGTCCTGAATTCAAGTCCCAGTACCAGAAAAAAAAAAATGACAACTCTCACAAATATCAAAATTCAAAGTCCTTCAAAGGAGGAGAAATAAGATGCTTGACATGAGCTCTAAGTGTCAGGTGAGTTTTACGTCACAAAACCAGTTTTCTTGGCCTCAGTGTCCTGTGTCACTGATCTCCACATCTGTGCTATAAAAGCTTCTGCCTCTTCATCAAGTACCTGGCAATGTCATCCAGAATGCGCTGAGGTGAACTCATAACCTTTGAGCAAACATAGTCATGTAGCTGCTGCTTCTCCTGTGTGTACTGTGGTTTTCTTACTCCTCTGTGGTCGAGTCCATTGCTCCATCCGTGCGCTTCTTAGCCAAAAGCCGAGAAGCAATGCTGTGTCACACGGCGTCCCCACACACCAGCCCGGAGGCCGAGCAGTGCATTCAGGTTTGGCTCTTGGATTTGTTCCGTGAGACTCTTCATGTGTTTGCACTTTGCTTCAGTGTTCACAGTGCCTCTGCCAGCGTTTTTATCGTCTTCGCCATAACACAGTGGAACCAGTTTCCTTTTTCGGGGCACGTGGTCACTGTCCTCATCCTCAGATTTGTCAAAGACACCGTCTACAGGTGGCTGCTGCTTTTTCACAGAATTAGGCTGAATAGGACTGCTGGAAGCTCCCAGCCTGAGACTCAATCCTGTTTCTGGCCTGCGTTCCTCAGGTTGCTGGTGGTCTGGTGACTTTTCATGGGGTTGAATAACACCACAGGGAGGCTTGTCCCCAGGAGTGTGGGGTGTCCCGCGTCGCCACTGGCAGAGGAAACAGATGGGGAGGAGCGATGGGCCTCAGAGTGGGTTTCCGACGAGGCTTTCACCTGGACTCTTCTTCCGTAGGCTCTTGTCTTTCTCCTCCTTCCTCTGACTGGCTCTGGCTTTATTTGTGGTTGTCTCCAGCTCTCAGCCTCTTGTTCTCTCCACCAGAGCTCTGTATCCAGATCTGGGTCCCCTTCTGCCCCAAGGCGCTGCCTGACTCCCTCCAGCTCTTCCTTTTCTGTCTTCCTAGCTCATTCATTCTGTCATTCAGCCTTTTCTGAAGAGCACTTCCCCTGTAGTGACTGAGGTCATCGCCAATCATCATCATCATCATCATCGTCATCATCATCGCTGAGAATTCTAGTCCTTTAGCCTCTTTAGCCATTTCTTTTCTTTCTTTCAGCCTCTTTCTCATATTCCTGAGTTTTTTTTTCCTCTCTCTGATTCCCCAATTTTTAAGTTGCTCTTGAGAAGCAGCTTCTCTTGGAATTTTCTTCCAAGTTTGCTTCATTCACACGCATCTTTTCTAACTTCTTCTCCGTCTCGTTTCTTGTCGTTCTCGCTCATGCTCACATTCTCCCTCACATTCCTTTTCTTTCTTGACCTCTCTTTGCCGCTTCTGTTCCCTTTCATGGTCTCTGCTCTTTTCTCTTTATCGACTTCAGTCCTTGTTGCGATCTGAGCTCCTCTGGATCCTGATTCCAGTTTCAGTCCTCCCCTCCGTCCCTCGATCGAGTCCCATCTCTCCTTTGTGCAGTCACAGTCCCTATCCTTTCCCCTCCCCCTTTCCTTTTCTCCTTCCTTCCCATTCTGTTTCCCTTTCCTGTTCTCACCTTTCTCTCTGTTCTTTATCAACTTCCAGTGTTTCTTTTTCCTTTTTGCCTTTCCCTTCTTCCAATTTCTTAACATGTGTCTCTGAATTTGCGGATCTCTTGGATTACCAGGTCTCTTTTTGTGTCTTCTTCTATTTCTACAGCATTTTTTATCCTCCTTAGCGATGAGCAAAGAAGGGATCAGTGGGGCCACAAGAAATATGAAAAATATGCTCCTCCTTTTCCATAATGTGTCTTCTTCCTGGGATGAGTCAGACCTTTGTGAGGGGCGTTTAGCACACTGGAGTATTCTTGTATTAAAACTTAAATGTCTGATCTCTTCTTTTTGTGTCGTCTTCATCTTTAGTGGCAGTTTCAGGCCTTGCATTTCCATTGGAAGCTTCCTTTTCTTTCAGTTGTGCCATTGTTTTGGCATCAACTTTAACAAGGAGCTTCTTCTCTCCAGGCTGCAAACCATGTATAAAGCTGAGTTCACGGAGGGTAGATTCAGGCTCCTTACACTCACAGAATCCAACAGTTTGATGTTTTCCAGAGGCGCATGGTGCTCTCTTCTGGCTCCAAACCAAACCACATTTAGGTACGAGCTGTTGGATAAGTATATATGAGGCCTTCTCGGAAGTGTTTCCAACAGAAACTGTAGTAGTAGGACTGCAATTTTCATCATTTTCTTTAGCCTTTAAACCCGGATGATCCTTTTTCAGTCTCAGATGCTTTCCAACCATGCTCACAGTGGGTACTAGGACAGCTGGAGCAGGGTCGGTAGCGCTCCTTGGTACAGGAATCGGTGGGGTCAAGACAGGAACCTGGAGGGGTGTGGGGACCCCTAGTGGGAGTGCTGGGATTCCCATAGGAGGGCAATTCAAATGCGAGGGGGAAGCTGTTACTACAGCAGCCCTGCTGAGAAAAGGAGACTGACTTTGCTGCTTTCTAGGCTCCAGGTTAGAGCAGAATGTATCCATTTGAGGTTTCTGCGGAGCTTCTGCCTGCCATGGGTTCTGAAGCGCATGTTCGCAATGGCCACAAACTCAGCAGTGCTGGGCTGGGAGCCTCTGGAGGTCTTCGTCTTGCCCGGCATGCATTGTGGCCTCCTGTATGCTTTTAAATCATCTCCGGTTTACTATGATACCTACTTTAGAGTAAGTTGTTGTTGGATTGTATTGTGTAGGAAATAATGATGAGCAAAATTCCTGTACGTGTTTAGCCCTGGGCAGTTTTTTGTTTTTTGGGGTTTTTTTGGGTACTGGGACTCGAACTCAGGATCTTGCGCTTGAGAGGCAGGCAGTGGCACCACTGAGCTAAATCCCCAGCCTACTAGGGGCAGTTTTTTCCCCAAATATTTCTGATCTGCTGTTAGTGGAATCCATGAGTGAAGAACTCGCCGTTGAAGGATCACCCCCGTTTTCCCCCCTGACACGAGATTGAACCCAGACTCTTCACAGTGAGCTATCACCCCAGCCTTTTTTTATTTTTATTTTGACACAGAGTCTTACTAAGTTACCACATTGCCCCTGCTAGGCTTGAACTTGGGATCCATCTGTCTCAGCCTCCCAGGTGCTGGGATTACAGTCGTGTTCCGCCACGCCCAGCTCCCTCTCTTTTTTTAAGCATTTTAAAAAGGTCTCTGGCTCTCATGGTGTATTAGTTTGCTGAAGCATCCATATAAACTGTCACAAACTACGGCTTAGAACAGCACACTTTTATTTTCTTGTTCTTTTCTGGAGGCCAGATGCCCGAAACGGCACCCGTGGGCTGACACCCAGGTGTCTATAGGGCCTCGTCCCCATGGGTGTGCTAAGGGAGAGCAGACTGTTGCCCCTTTCCTCCATGTTCATGTGTCCACCTCCTCTGCACGTGCCTGTCTCAGGATTCCATCTATTAGCACACACGCAGTTGTGTTGCGGGGCCGAGTCTGTCCTCAGTTACTGCTGCTTGTTAGTGACAGTCACGTATCTTGGGGATGTGGAGACGAGCCAGTCCGTGGGGGACAGGAGCAGGCCTGCCGCTGCTGTTTTAGCATCATGGGGCTCTCAGCGCTTCTAAAATCGGTGGCTTGAGGTTTTAAGAAATCCTTGCCTATCATTTCCTGGAAGCTGTCTTGGTGCTCTTCTGGCTTCTGCTTCTGTACCTGGGTTCTCTATGTCAGGTCTCCCACGTGGCTTCCTCATGTTTTCTGTCCCTTAGCCGGGATATTCTCTGGTGACCTTCCTCCTGTTTATTATTCCACTCTTCTCTCTCGTCCACTGTGTCCGTAATTTCAGAAACTTCATTATGGTTCGAAGTTTGTTTGATTCTTTGTAATAGACTTTAACTCTCCATCTTGTCTGCTTACTTAAATGCGTTTGTAAAGACTGCATTTGGTCACTGTCGTGTCTGATCACCTCTTTCCGTCATCTTTGCTTTTCTCGTTTCTGCTGCTGGGGATGCTGGAAACGGTTGAAATGTCAGGGATCATGTACAGGAAACGGCAAGGCTCTGAAATGCCTGTCCTCTGGAGCTGGCCAGTGGCAGGCCACCTGGGTCCAGGCTGAGGCCAAGCTCACTGGAGCCTGGCCTGCAGCTCTGAGCAGCTGATGGCTTATGCTGGTCCTCACCCGAAAGTGCCTGGTGCCTCCACCCCCAGGTTTTTTCTTGGACACAGGAGGCTGCAGAAAACTGCTCTGTTTTAGTGACTTTCTTGGGCAGTCAGAAATTTGGCAAATGGCTGCAAGGGAAAGCGGTGGCATCAGACCTGCTGGTGCTTTGTCCCTCCCTGCCCCCCCCCCGAATCATGGCTGCTCAGGCCCTCGCTGTCCCAATCTCTGCTTTGGTCCCATGTGCTTTGGGGGAGTCCCCAGAACCCTGCCTGGACCCCCACCTCTGGGCAGCAGCCCTCTGCCTGGGTCGGTGGGTGTTCTGTATGGGTGCACCCTGCCAACAGGGGACAGTGGCAGGAAGCAGCTGGAGGCATCAGCAAGGAGCCAAGAGCAGAGGGAATTGCAGGGCGTTCACAGTATCATGTGATTTGTGTCACCTTCATTCCTCTCCCATTGGGCTCTCCTATGCCCTCGGCACCTGCCTGGGCTTCTGAGTCCCTTTCTTCAGCCTTGGGTCTCCCTTGCCCCCTGTTGCCTGGAATTGTCAGGCAGCTCCTGTCTGGTATCTGAGTGGTGCTGCTAGCCTGTGGTCCCAGTGAGAGGTGAGCTCCTGAGAGGCAGGGAGCGTTTCTGATGCCAGCCAGCACAGTGACAGTGCTGAGAAAATGCCAGGAGACATTGCTTGGTGGTTTTTAGTCTCTTTCCTTCTGCAAAGGACTTTTTTGTGCCTTTGGTGGGAGGACAAGTTACTACAGGTATCAGCAAGGATGTTGGTTTGATCGCTTAGATGAAGGCCAAATAGCAGTGGCGAAAGCCTGATAGGACGCTCATATCTCTGCTGTGTACAAGTGGGGGGAACCAGGGCAGGCAGCTCTGAGCCAGGCACCATCTGAGCACCCGAGTCTCTTCCGTCTCATGGCTGTGCCACTCCTTTGGGGCTGTCCCATCTGTGTGGTCAGAGCTGCTCCCAGCACCGCTTGTTGGGGCCCACAGGCTGGGCCCCACCTCTGTCACCCTAGGCACATCTGTATAGCATGACCATACCTGTCTGTAGGGGAGGCTCTGGCTTCCACACCTTGCAGGCTTGCTCCTAGAGAATAGAGGAAAAAGGAGATAAGGTGGGTACAGCAGGTCTGGGCCACCAGGGAAGAACTGGAGCAGGAGGAGGGGTGCTGAGGTGACCAGGCAGTGTCAGCTGCCCTCAGTATCCTCAGGAACAAGGAGCTGTGCTTGCACCAGACTCCGTGACTGTGGCCCTGGTACATTCAGGAGGTGGGAATTTTGGTGCTAAAGCTGTGGGGATCCCTGGTAGAACAGGCTGACTTGTCACCTCCCTGGCTCTGGATTTTTGGGGTGAAGGGGCAAGTGAGGTCATGGGTACCCAGGCTGGGCCCATGATACCACTGTATTCTCCCTCAGACTCAGTGAGCCTGGCCTATCAGCGGGTCCAGAAGGTAGACTGCACCTCGCTGAGGCCTGTCCTGATCCTGGGGCCCTTACTGGACGTGGTGAAGGAGATGTTGGTGAATGAGGCTCCTGGCAAGTTCTGCAGGTGCCCACTTGGTAAGGACTTCCCGTGTGCCTGCTGGGTTGTGCCTGTCCCTGTCTACCTGGCTCCTGGGTCACACATGGTGGGCAGCACTGGGGCAGTCCGCAGGGTGTCACAGAGCGCTGCTGTCTTGGGTCCCACCTGCCTGGGGCTCTGATGGCTGTTGCCTACTCTTTCTTGCAGAGGTGATGAAAGCCTCCCAGCAGGCCATTGAGCGGGGTGTCAAGGACTGCCTGTTTGTGGACTACAAGCGGAGGAGCGGCCATTTCGACGTGACCACAGTGGCTTCGATAAAGGAGATCACAGAAAAGGTGCCTGCGCCTTTAGCCTGCAGCCCAGGCCTGTGCTGTGCCCCACCCCCTTCTCCCAGGCTGCACCCCCACCCCCGTGCTGTGCACTCCTGCTTCATAACTACCTGGCAAGGGTCGTGTTGGGCACCTGCCACTTCTCCCTCAAGGCTTTGAACCTGGGGCATCCTGGGGTGGGGTCCCCGGCCGCGCCTGCTAAACTTTCGGGCATACTTCCTGGGGACAAGAAGCAGTCTTCCATCCAGTCACTGCCCCAGAGGGGCCAAGTGCATCTCCTGATGTTTGGTGTCCTGAGATCCACTTGTTGAGCCACACAGGGCTGCAGCAGCAGCAAGGTGTATTGGGGAAGCAGGCCCCAGGAGTCCGAGGCTAAGGGCGCTCCTTAGGCCTTGTCCTCCCCATCACCCAGTTTCCCTGCTGGGCTCCCAGCAGACTTCTGGGCCTGGTGGGGTGTCCCAGGGTAGGAGCTCAGAGGGCTTCTTCCACTGCCCAGTTGCGTGTCTGTGCATGGAGGCAGAGCCTTGGGAGGCAAGGGGTCCCCTGGAGATAGAAGAGGAGCCCCCTTGCCAGCCCTCGGACGCTTACCTTGTGCCCTGCCCACCCCCAGAACCGGCACTGCCTGCTGGATGTCGCCCCGCATGCCATCGAGCGGCTGCACCACATGCACATCTACCCCGTCGTCGTCTTCATCCACTACAAGAGCGCCAAGCAGATCAAGTGGGTACCGGCCCTGTGGGGTAGGGTGAGCACCGGGGCTGTCTCCTCCTTGGGAAAGAGGAGCTTTCTCCCTTGTTCTTGGCCTGTGTTCAGAGGCAGTGGTTGCCTGCAGGGGCCACTTTCCCACACCTCCTGCTCGGGTGCCTCCATGACTCCTGTTACCCCCCCGCCCCCGCCAGCCCCTTCCCCTCCTTGAAGGCCAGAGCAGCTGGGGGCCTTGGCCCGTCTGTCTCAGGTGTGTCACTGAGGCCCTCTCTCTGCCTTTGCTTGTGCTGAGGTCGGTGGTGTGTCTGTTCTCTGCTCACTCTGGGCTCCTGGTGCTCGGCATGGAGCCTGGAGGCTGTTGCTTTATTGGGGTGGGGTGGCAACCATGGGGAAGGCACAGGGCTCAGCCTGGTTCACCGCTGTCCCAACAGGGAGCAGAGAGACCCCGTGTACCTGAGGGACAAGGTGACACAGAGACATTCCAAAGAGCAGTTTGAGACAGCTCAGAAGATCGAGCAGGAGTATAGCAAGTACTTCACAGGTGAGTGCAGGCTGGGTAGGGACAGGGGCTGGGGGTATAGGGGCTTCTGCAGACGCTGGCCTAGAGCAGGTGGCCACCCACCTAGCATTACATGTGCCATGTTGTAAGCCAGGCCAGTGTCAGGCCTTCCACAGGCTCACCTCAGGTCCTGGTATGGCCCGTCTGCCCCAGTGCTTACACACACAAGTGCCACACAGCCCAGGGTAGTGTCCCCTGAAGCCATGGGAACCCGAGAGGCTCCGGTGGGCTGGCAGTGCAGGTGTCTGTCCCTATACTCTACAGGGCAGGCTGGTTTTGCTGTGAGATGCGGGAAGAACAGCTGTACCCTGGCCCTCCGGTCTGCAGAATAAAGGACATTCTGCTATGGCTTCACCCTCTGGCTTCCAACCTCTTGGGCATGGTCATCTGTAGGAGGTTGGCATTGTCACGGGGGAAGGGACAGGGACTCATCCTGCAGTGTGTGACCTAGTGCAATGCTTCCTGTGGGCAGCTGGTCTCAGGGACCCAGGTTGGTCCTGTGTGACGCACATGTGTGTTGTCATTTTCAGTTTGCCCAGCCCACGACTTTAGCCAAAACCATTAACAACACCTAGAAAAATGAAGTCTAAAAACCGATTGTTTTATTAGAGTCAGCAGACATAAAATTATACCCTCCCATTTCTAGAGCAATTTCTAGACACTGTTGCTTTCTGAATGCACTTTACTGCAGCAGCCAGGGGTTGGGGGTGGTGTCTTTATACCTGGTGATCCTGAGTTGGGTGTGTGCAGACCCTTGGCACCATCCTCAGGCTCTGGGCGCCTGGCTCCTTAGGCCCCACTTCCTTCCCGTGAGTTCTGCTGTCGCATGGAGCCATCGCCACAGGTTACCAGGGATGGACCACCTCCCCCAGCGCCAGTTTTCTTCTCATCTGATTTCCAGCTGACAGAAGAGAGGGGTGGGAATGAGCAGAATGCTGAGCAGCTCAGAGCAGACAGGGATACAGCAGAGCGCAAGCTGTGTTTATTTGCTTCAAACTGGGGGCTTCCTTGGAGCTGACGGTCTCTGTGTGTGTATGTTTGGGGGGCTCTTTTGTAGCAGTCGTCCAGGGAGGACCCCTGTCCAGCGTTTGCACTCAGATCTTGGCAATCGTCAATCAAGAACAGAGCAAAGCCCTGTGGATCCCAGCTGGCCCGATCTAGGAGCAGCCTGCTGGTGGGGAGCCCAGCTCGCTCTTCCGGAGACTGAACACAGGACTGCAGGAGGAAGGATCTGGAGTCAGGGCTCCAGGAGCACCTCCTTAGTGACAAGAGTGCCAGGCCAGCACACTGCTCCTCACGCCTGTACTTTGAGACAAAACAAAGCAAAACACAAAACTTGATGGAGGGCTCCAACACCCACCTTCCTGTAGCCAGCCAGTCAGATGCTGCACAGAAAACCTTCAGATCACAAGTTTACAAGCCTTTTCTAAGTATTTGGTTGTTTATGTTTACTTGAACGGCTCCACGTTGTGGGGCCCAGCCCCTGCCCGTCACCCTGTTTCTTTGGTGTTGCTTCTGTTCCTGTCTTCGGCAAAACAACCCTGGGACCCCATGGGGGCTGCTTTGCTTCAGAAAGTTCTTGTTGGTGGGACCAGAGCGTTGACAGACTCCCCGCTCCTCGGTGGCTCCTCTCCTGGAAGGACCTCGCCACCGCAGGTGCTCAGCCCGCTGGTGGTGGCAGAGCCAGTGCCTTGGTGGGGCCAGCGCGCTGGTGGCAGTGTTTCCCTCCCGCGCCCACCGAAGATGGCAGCCTTGGTTCTCACCACTTCACCTCTTGGCCTTGCCGTCTCGCCTCCCATGGCCCCTGTGGCCTCCCGTTTCTTCGTCTGTCTGGTGTCTGGTCCACCAGGGCTTTGTGGGTGCTCAGTGATACACTAGGCACGTGGGTGTCCCTGGCTGTCCCTGGGCTTTGGGAGTTCCGGCAGCCTTCCGAGACGCTGTTAGTACCCTTGGTAGAGCACGGCAGGTACATCTGTACTTTCTGACAGGAAAACATTCACGTTTCAGACTTTGGATTGAGCATTTTTAGGAAAAGCATAATGGTTAGTGTTTTGCTATTGAGAATCTTAAAAAACAAACCCGGGATGTCTTGTTGATCTTGTTACAGTGCTCATGGCGTGAACCTGACCCGATGAGGATGTCCTCAGTCTGCGTCAGGTTTCTTCTGTTTTTCTCTCCTTTTTTTTCCTCTGCACTTCTGATGCCAGATGTGTCTGGCCAAAGATCTGATGTGGTTCCCCCTTCAGCTGTGTCCTGTTAATAGGTACTGTTCCAGGCTCCGTGTGTCATTGGGGTAGGACCTGTATTTTAATACTGTTCCTAACGTTTCATTTTACTAGCAAGAAATCTTTGATTTCATTTTATTCTTTGTAATTTTAGACACTAGATTGTAGTTTAGCCATTACTGACATTTTTTTAAAAAGGGATATATTTTCTTGCACAGCTATTCAAAAAAAGACAAGTTTCGGTCCTCAATGCTGTCCTCTGTTTTACAGGTACAAGTTTTCTAGCTCAGCCAGCTGGGAGAGGCTGCAGAGTGCTCTCCAGCTGTGCCTGCACCCTGGGCTGCTGGAAGGGGGATGCAGGCCTGTGGTACGATCTGATAGCCCGGGGTGTTCTGTACTAAATGGTTACTTTGTATCAAAAGTTAAAGACTTTAGTACAACAAATAAAGGTCAATTTCTGTAACTTCCCATGCCCTTGATTTTCCTGTTTCTGAGCTAGAAAAGTAGGGCTTCTGTGCAGGACCAGCAGCTGCTGCAGCACCAGTGTGTGGCTTGATTGACCTGTGCGTGAGGTTGCCTGCCCTCCTGATGATCAGAAGTCCCTCTTCCCAGCTCCATGCGCCCCTGACTCCCTTCCTCCCTTCTTGTTTATCTGCCATCCGGTGTTGTGTGGGGTGGTGGTCAGGCCAGGTGGCTTTCACAGTCAGGCCACCCACTGGGCCGAAATGACAAGAGGGTTAAGGAGTGCTGAGGGATCCCCCAGATATCTGCAGGCAGGGCCCTGGCTCAGGCCTCCAGGGCAGAGGGCCCACTTGGCTTGCTACTGCGCGTCATAGCATGATATCACCCAGCCCTGCAGGGCCCTGGAGCAGCCTTCATCTGCTCTTCCTCAGGGGCCTCAAGAGCCCAGTGTTCTGCCACAGCCCTGTGCTGGCATGGCGACTGGAGGCAGAGACTCAGTGTTGGGGCCTCCTTTGTCCTCTCCGGCTGGGTCAAGCTCCTTCCTGGCCCTGGGTCATCTGAGGTATCACCCACAGGGCCATAGAGGCGTTCAGGGCCCTGGCAGTTGGGGTGGGATAGTGTACACACCCCCATTGCCTGCCTACCCTTCCTGGAAAGCCCAGCGCTGGTGGTATCCTCGGGGCTGCGGCTACTCCACAGGTTTTAAGTAACCTACCTGGCAGATGGAGGCAGTTGCTCCTGGTTTTAAGAACGATTTCCCTTAAGGATTCAATTATGAAGTCAAAACCTTAGCATTTCCAGCTTCTGGCATGGGACTTTAGTTTCTTCTTTAGACTATTCTGCATTTTCCAAATTTTCTACAGGCAACTTGACTTCGTTTTGTAATTATAAGACAGAAAACACTGCCTTTACAACAGGAAGGCAAGTTAGGCCCCTGAGATCACAGCCCTTTGCTCTTGATGGAACAGAGGCCCAGTGGGTCGCTGTGATAGTTAATTGTGATGTCAACTTGAATAGGCTGCCTGGCTGACTTAGCACAGTTCTGGGTGTGTCTGGATGATGGACCTCCTGAAGAAGGAAGACTCAGCCTGGGTATGGGCGGCACCAACCAATCGGCTTGTAATCTGGATGGACTAAAAAGGGGAAGAATAAGTCAAGTGTTGAGTCTTCGGGGAGCTCCAGTCTTCACTGTCATTTTTGGACATCCATCTCCAGGCTCCCAGGGCAGACCCTTCGGCTTCCTAATGTGGACTCCAATGAGACTCTACAGTGATCTCCAGGCTTTCGACTTGACGGGATCCTTGGCTCTCCAGTGTGCAGATGGTTTTTCTGCATTCTTCCATGTTTGACTGTGCAGGCAGCCATTATAAGCCTACCTTAGATGTTTTATATTAACTCTGTTCCTCTGGTGAACCCTGATATGTTCACCAGTGCCAAGGATTGACACTGACACAAAGACAAGTAGGAGGTGGCAGAGAGTGAGCGTAAACCGCAAATTAGGGTGCAAAGGCTGGTGTTGGAGGGTGAATCCTGAGAGGGAGGGCTCGGGGCACTGTGTCCCCACCCTCACCTTGCTGATCACACTCTCGCCTGCTGTCTGTCACCCTCCAGAATAGTCTCCGGCCTCTTCCCCAACTGAGTGCTATTGTGTGTTCCTGTCCCTTCTGCCATCTATCAATTTATGGTGTGGGCTCGTGCTGCAATACGGACGCACAGTTTAAAGCCAGTGAGATGGATTGTCTATGCCTCGATGAGACTAGAACTCTGCCACTCCTTTAGAGACCTTCATGGACCCCAACAGCTCAACTCCCACCTTCTCTATGAAGCAAGCACTGGCCTGACGTGGAGTTCAACAGTCATTTCCTAGCTTTGTTGTATAGTCTGACTCCCAATGCTGGTATCCTCACGGTACTGTGCAGATTTGAAAACACTGGGCATCAGGCACCCACTTGGCAATGCGGGGGAGACACGGAAGTCAGCCAGAAAAGGTTGAGAGCTGGGTCAGAGTGGCCCTCACCTGAGAGTTCATGGGAGCCCTTTCTGGAGAAGTTCGTGCCGTGGGGGAACCCTGTCACCAAAACACACCAGATACATTGGTGTCTCCACTCTTTCACAGTTTGTTGAACTGTAAATTCGTGAGCTGTGTCAGTTTTGTCAGCCTTCCCTGGCTGAGTACTCAAGATGCACTCGGTAATCAGTGAGTCAGGCAATCACAGATTCTTTTATTCCATCCTTAATAATGAATGTCACACTCAGGATGCACAGCCTTCAGTCATGCACAAGTTGTAGAATGGCTGAGAAAGGTGTATGGTGGCTGCAGGAATTGAAGAGGCAGAACTAAAAGCAAAGACAGAGCTCACAGAAATTAGTCATCACAAGTGGCCAGATGAGATTACAGGCCAGTGCATCTTCTTTTTATTCCCCTTCCCTTCCCTTCACTCTGTCTCTGGATCCCTTTCCCATTTGCAAAAGATCCTTCCTTTGTCCTAGTGTCTTTTAAAAATATCCATACTTTGGGTTTCTCATATAAGAGAAACTATATGATTAACATGGTCTCGAGGGACATCAATTTTTCCTACAAATGACTGAAGTTTATCCTCCTTTATGTCAGAGTAGTACTCCATATCCTACAAGCGTGCCAGTCCCTTATGATGAAGGTAAACATGTATTGAATACATGTACTGATTTAAAAAAAGGAAAAAAATATAAAATAAAAACATTTAAATGGAGATCTGAGTGAAATGGAGCCAGTCCTACAAAAAGAGCAACAGGTGACTGACCGATCCAGGCAGAGGGAAGAGCTAATGGAAGAGGAGCCTGGAAAACAGAAAGGCTTGGGTGGTCAAGGGTACTTTCCAATAGAGACAGTGTGAGCCGTGTAATTTTCCACTTGCTAGCAGCTTCACTGAATAAAACATAGGTTGGAAAAAAAAAAAAAAAGATTACTGAGCAGGCAGACAGCTCTTGCCAGTGAGGCAGAGCGGGGGCCAGCTGAGTGCGCAGAATCTGTTCAGAGCCTAATTCCAGTAGGCAGGTGGTGCAGCCAGCAGGTCAGGCTGAGCTGCAGAGGCAGGGACAGAGCCAGAGTGCAGGGCCTGTCCCCTCGTGGTGCATTCAGCAGGCGGTCCAATGAGATGCCAAGACCATGTGTTGTCGCTGATGCTGTCCCCTGCCCCAGGGTTGGGTGCCTCTTTTATATGGCCCAGGTGAGGGACGATTTGTGGGTCTGGTGTGTGCCCAATAAGCTCCCGGGCCTGCTTTCCTTGGGTCAAGTTAGATACATCTTGTCGCATGTTCCCGATTTAGTTTGAGCAGCTTACAGGTGACCATTTTCTATTATCTCCATGTATCAGTTTTATGGCCTGGCCTGGGATTATGCTGCACGGCAGGGAGTTCTTTGTATCCTTTCCCCATAAGATTTTGGTGCCCAGCATCCCGTGGTCATCTGTGTACACACACGATTCACCAAGATGCTCTGTCTCAGCACTTGCACTCCAAGTGGAAAAAACAGCAGCTTTGTAAAATGGGGCCACTTGGGTCAAGGCACAGCCAGAAAACACAACCGGGAGTAAGTCAAAGGCGGGTACAGGCAGTGCTGTGTGTTAGTGCTCGAGGGCTTGAGTAGGTCTGGGAGCAGCAGGGCTGGCACAGGCCCACGGCATCACTATCCACAGACTGGGCCCGAAAGCTGTGGTGAGAATATGGGAGAGTGAGGCCTGCGGCTAAGGTGGGTCAGAGTTCGATGCTTCCGTGAGGGAGAGACGCAGCAGGGTGTGTCTGCCCACACCAGGACAAACCTAGTGGCCATAAGAATGGACCAGAGTCACTGTGACACAGTGCCGTCCTTAACTCGGCCACACGAAATCTGCTGGAGGCTGTCCCCATGTCTCTCCCCTGCTCTGAGCCAGACCATCCTCTGCTTTCCTGGGAATTTTCTTGACCTCTGACTTCCCTTCTCTCCTTCTGCAGGTGTCTTGTTTCTTGGGAGGACAAAATGCTAGCCCCATCTGACATCTTTCTCCACAGAAGGGTGACTGGGTCCCCCTGCTCTCGGCATGATGTTCAGGAAAAGTTTGGGTTTTTAAAAACAGTACCAACATGTATGTACATGGATAGTGCGTCTCATTTTGGAGTCTGGGAGCGGTTGGAGGCCCGGAGAGCCACCTCAGAAAGGACTGGGTGAGCAGGGCGGGGGGTCTTCTTCCCCTTCCCTCCAGAGCTCAGTCACAGGAAGTTGCTTGAGCTCTTTTCTTATGCCATATTATCCTTGGGGATAGAAGAAAATGGTTGTCATGGTCAGTAGCTTCTTACAGAGGCTGCCTGCTCCGAGAAAGTAAACCACAGAGCCACCTTAGCTGCTCCCACTCACATGAGGGCCTGAGGCAGAGATGCCAAGCGCTGAGCGGCCGTGAGTGAGTGGAAAGGGCAGGGTGTTCCCCGCCAGCCAGGTGGTGCTGTGTGGGGCCTGGAGTGTGAGGAAGGCATGTGAGGTGCTCCTCAGGACGGACACAGAGAGAAAACAAGGCCAAAAGTCGCTCGTGCAACAGTGTGTGCTGCCATTACCTCACCACAGAAGCACAAAAATGCTAATTCTGAAGTCACGATGCTGGAAATGACAGTGACTTCATTTTTTTTTAACAGCATATATTTAACCTTTGTATTTGATGAGTTTTTTCCTCGAGATTTTTTTTTCTTTCACCAATATTTACCTTTATTATTTCTAAACAGTTTTTTCTCTTAATGTACTTTTTAAAATTGCATTTTTCATGACATCCTCTTAGGGTTATTGGGTCTGGACTAAGCAAGGATTTCTCAGGAAGCTGCTACTTGTGGTAATCTATATTTGTGATAAATGCCCTTGTTTAAGAGCAAGAATCTCAGAATTGATTCTGAAACAGATGTGTTATCCAAAGATCAGAAGGCAAGTTATCTCACAATGAAACCCAAATAACTGGCTTTTAAAAATAGAGGGATGAAATAAGTAATTAAAAAAAAATAGAGGGATGGA